CTTTCCCTGAGTTACTACATCGCTTTTCTTCCCTTTACATGCTTCTCCCCAGTTTTCTATTGCCCTTGTCAAGTCCATTTTTATTTTTGTCTCTTGTTTCCTGGCAGTCCCACCTCAGCCTCCAGTTATTGTGGGTCTGGAGAGAGAGGAAGTCAAAGCAGGGCGAATACTGAGATTGGAGTGTGTGTCTTATGGTGGAAACCCCCTAGCCACTCTCCACTGGACCAAGGTAAATCTTCTGCACCATCTGTTAAGGAAGCTTTGTAACACACTGTCACACTGGCAAATTGAGCCATGGTAGTCCAAGTACTTGCAGTGCAGGTATCCCATTGTTAGTAGCTTCTGTGCTTCATTGACTTGGTGCAGTCAATGATGGGACTGTCAAACAAACACATTTTTAATGTTGCTTTTTGAGTTTTATGTGTAATATTTTTGTGTCAGAATGGCAAAGTTCTGTCCACAATTTGGGAAGAGGACATTGACATGCAAAAGTCCAGCAGTATCCTCAACCTGAAGATCACCCCTGCCGACAACCAGGCACTGCTGTGCTGTGAGAGCATCAATCTGGTGTCCCTACTGCCTCTGTCCATCAGCCGCAAAATCACTGTACTCTGTGAGTGAAAATAATGGTTAATATGGTGCACAGAGCTGGAACACACACACACACACACACAGCCCTGGCAGACTCATAGCAATGGATTATTAAGGATATGGACATCAGGCAGAGGAATGTAATAAGAGTCTTACCTCCAAAACCTTCTTTTTTGCTGCCCCAGCATAAATTTTAATGCTAATATCATTAATGAAACTAATTGTTATTATGGCTGCAGACTATATTTCCAAATGCCTCCAGATTAGTATCACTGTATGTGCTTTTGTAGCTGCTGCACTAATTTAGCTGAATTGCTTCAATGCACAATCCTGAGGCGGTAAAGCCAACACTTTGTGCGACAGTAACACCCATGGTTAATAGATTATACTTTTCTCTATGAATATAAAATGTTTGTTTCAGCAACAATAAAACAAATACAGAATTAATATTCAGCAGCCTTGGTGCATTGAGTCTAACAATAGCCTGATTTCCACTACAGAGCCAGACAATGTAGCTTTAAAAGCCAGGTGATTGATGCACCTATTTTGTGTAAACATGATTTGAATTAGAATTGGCCCTTGCAGAAATCTCTTGCCCATGTTACATTAAGGTGGCTGAAGTTACTCCAGTGCTCCTCCTTTTCTCACCAAGCTCCAAACAGCCCCTGATGCCATGCCTCCCAGTCATCCATTTATGGATGTTGAAAAGAGCTGCTGACTGCCTAACTGCGCTGTAGGCACTGGCAGGAGCTGGAGGGCACAGAGTTAAGTTTTACTGGTTTAATATGAATCTGCCTCTTTTTACCATACGCTACCTGCATAGTGTGAGCAGTCTTTGTGTACAGCATGCACAAATGCATCCCATTCTTTGTCTCATGTGAGACACAAATACGTCAAAGATTTACATACATGGCCCCTCCTTCCTAGCAGCTCAGTCCCCAGCCTTTGTATTCCCGCAAAGGCTTTATGCAGCTGCATCACTTTGCCTGCAGCTGTGGTACCCTGTCTCCCCCTATGGTTAAAACAAAGCACACTTTTGAAACCACATGAAACCGAACCTCCTGAGAAAACAAGTTGTCACTCAAAGTAATTTTTCCTCTCACCCTTGATACAGCTCAATGTTTCACATCCAAAAATAGTTGCATTGCTACTGTGATCAGAATAAGTAACTGTTGAATGCACTATTCATGGGCCGATAGTTTTACTGACTTGATTTTGTATGTTTTCCTATGTATGTGTGCGTGTACTTCAGTCGAGCCTGCAGAGGTGATCCTGTCAGGCTCATTCACGGCCATTGAAGGACAGCAGTTGGATCTGAGTTGCTACGCCACCTCCAGTAATCCCCCTGTCCAGATTCGCTGGTGGCTGGGCTACAAGGAGCTCAACGCTACTGTTGCCACAGTGGAAGAGGTGGGACTACACAAAACACAATCTGCACAAAGGCGGCAGGCAAATGAACAACAGCATTGGCAGGAGACAGTGTACACAGTGGGTGTAATTGGTGATCATGCTGGTCACTATAAAGAGAATAGCGAAAAAGGGAATGTGTTTGTTTCTTTGTTGTGAACACAAGACAAAAGGCATGACAAATATTTTGCAAAAGTATTGCCCTTCAGTCTAGTGCTTCTTTCGGGTACCAGCAAAAAAAAAACTACTAAAATGCCTCTTGCTGAAATAAAAGAATCCTCAGTATGAAATTTGACCTGATGTGAACTTTATAGAAGAAAGAAAGTGGTATGACCATGAGCATTCTCTGAATAGCCCTGCTGCAGCTCTGCAGATAAATCAGCAGCTGATTACAAAAGGAGTATTCGGCTGCTCTCCTCCTCTTTTGTGTATGTTAATAAGATCAAAGTGAATAAAAGCTGACACAGAAGATGAGCATTATTAACCAAGCTCTTTATTCATCTGGCGGCAGCATTTTCATTTGATCTTACACAAGGCACTCAGTGTGCTGTCTGTGAGCTTTAATGCACTTGAAACATTGTGAGGTTATTGAAGACTGACGCTCCTGTCCAGTGTCTTTGTTAGTCTTTCTGACTGTGGCTTTTACAGTAATCAACACAACAACAGCTTTAATAACCAGATGTGCTGCATAGGCATGATCACTATCAGGCAGGTGCAAAATGACGCTTTGCTCAATTTATAACAGTGTGCAAAGCAGGAGAGTTGGAATATGCTTATTTATTATAGACTGTGCACAACATCAGTTATTACAGCAGCTAATTTGCCATCTGTATTCACCAAGACAAACCAGTGTGGGCTGTTTTTCTCTCTGATTTGCTCTTTCCTAAGACTGAGAACACTGAAGACTGAGGCTGTCTCTCCCCTGACTGAAGTGTTGTGTGCTCTGTGCCTGCAGGGAGACAATGGTGGGATGACAACCATATCCAACATGACCCACCAGGTCTCCAGGGAGGAGGATGGGCTAGAGCTCACCTGTGAGGCTTTCAACCAGGGCACACACTTCTCCAAGACGCAGATGACCAAAATCAGTGTTTATTGTGAGTGAGCTTAAGTCTAGTTTTTTTAAACTGGTGGATCCTTTGTAGATATTACCAGTACAACAAAATCACAAAGTTTAAGGAAATTTTAATGTAGTACCAATATTTTTTTTTTTACACCTTATCAAGATCTTATGTACGTTATGGTGGTTCAAGACAGGTAAATTCTAATTAAAACCAATTGAATTTAGGTTGTGAAAATATTCTGCCAAATGTTTTGTCCTTTTATAACAGATCCCCCTCAAAAGGTCTGGATCGATGCTCCTACTCAAGATGCCCCCTTCCATGCAGGTAGCAAAGTCCATCTCATCTGCTTCTCAACTGGTGGGAATCCTCTTGGGACCCTAACCTGGTTCAAGGTTGGAGCGTATTGTAATGCTGCACTGTACACAATCAGTCAAAAGTTTGGACACACTTTCTCATTGAATTGGATGTGAAGGTGACTGGTCGTGAGTGTCTACAGAACATACCCTTCTGCATGTAACAGCCTTCCGTCCTGTTTTAGAATGGAAAGAAAGTGGCTCATGCACTGACACAGACCACCTTTGATCGAGGTGTGGCTCGAGAATTGGTCCTGGTCCTGATGGCAAGTGACAACATGGCCGTCTATCGCTGTGATGCCACAAATGAGGCAAAGAAGACCATCTCTTCCCACACTAAGCTCATGGTTCACTGTGAGTTTGACTGACGTTCTAACATAATAAACACTGCCTGACCTTTATTCCAGTTTAACTCAGCTGACAGAAGAGCACAATATCAGATAAATGGATCTGAGTCATGATTGTCTTTTCCTCTTTATTCCACGGTTCTCCAGTTACAGCAATAAGTATGAAGATCACAACCACACAGGAGCAGCTTCGTCGGGGCCAGATTCTAACTCTGGAGTGCCAGTCTGGAAGTAGTAACCCAAAAGCTGATATCAACTGGAGCTTGGGCCCACTCAGGTTTGTTAATACAATGTGTGGAAAGGCTCATGTCCTTAAATGACAATGACAAAAATACTACGGCTAATACAGTGCCAGATTGAGAATCAATTACTATTTTTATCCTGATTAAAATGCAGCAATATACGTTATTATTTTGTGAACTTTAAGTCCCTTGTTGACTGAGTTTGCTGTCTGGGATTTGTGCTCTAGGTTCCAGGGAGTGGAGCAGCCACCCCAGAAGTCTTTCTATGGTGGTGTTTCAGTGAGAAGTTTTTTATCTCTGAACCTGAGTTCACACCATCACAACCAGAGGGTCATTTGCCAGGCCTATAGTCCTGTGCTAGCTGAGGGTGTCAGCACATTTTTCAAACTCAGTGTGCTTTGTAAGTACAGAGTGAAATGTTTGTTCATTTCTTCCTTAGTTCATACATTTCCTTCCTTCCTTCCTTCTTGGCAAGTGGCCAAGAGATGTGGGTTGCATGAAACTTAAATGATGCATAATGATGATCTGTAATTGTGCATATGGAAGCTGCTTTGCTCTTGTACTTTTTGCACAGAAATGTCAGCATATAGTATGTGTGTTGCTGGAAACCTTTGTTATGATTTGTGGGTCTGTCGAGCTCTGCGGCAGTGTGTCCTAATTGTGCATTTGCTTTGCTGCATGGTCATGTTTGTCTTTGATGCCATTTCACAGGCATCAGCCAGCCACCGCTTCAAAGCTCGATACTGTGTATGAGCATGAAGGAATGTCACTGTGTGTTTGTGTGGAGCTGCAGTTGGACAACAGTGCTGTCACTCGTCATTTTAATGCCTGTCCCTCTCGCTCCCGTGCTGCCCCACTCCCCCATCATCTAAGTGTGTGAAGATGGTTAGGTCTGGATTATTGGTGGGATGTCGACTTTCTACTGGTTTCACTCTCATTAGTGTCTCTTATGGCTTTTATGCTCAACATGTTTTGTGTTTCTTTGCTCTTGCTGGTTCTTGTCATTCTGTGGGTTAAGTTTGTATTCATGTATTTTTTTTGTATAAACTTACTGCTGCTATATTATTATGCTGTTTCTGTGTCAGACCCACCAGAGTTCAGCCCAGACCAGCCAACGCAGATCCAGGTGGTGGAGGATGACATGGTAACCATCCCACTGCTGCTCTCAGCTAACCCAGAGGAGGTCTCCTGCATTTGGCTGCACCGCAGGGAGAAGCTGGTCAAAGGTGATCCTGGGCCATGTGATGGCTCTATAAACCAGGTCCTAGTTGAGCTGAGCCAGCAAGTAAGCACTCAGCTATGCCATTCAGGGTCTGAATAAAACATGGCAGGTTAGCCAGCATGGGACCCTGCCAAATGTGATTCTCATTATGGCTCTAATGTATGCAGTCTAAATGAGGATTGCTGTCTCCCTGAATACAACATAACAGTTCTAAACCTGGCTTCTCCTCCAGGCCGGTGTCATCAGGGCCCTGCTGCACCCACTCTCTTTCTCATGTAACTCTGGTGGCTCTATTATATGCAGCAAATGACTGTATCCTGAATGTGGAAGCCCACCTAGTACATTTTATGTGCTCTTGTTCAGACGTTGTCTCACACGCGGCCTGTTGTTGGTTTGATGTGGGAATCCAGCCAGGTCAATCAATAATTCAGGATTAGATGTCATTTAGAGACCAGTGGCCAGAGGACATGTGGTTGATGAACGTGTAATGAATACTTAATTTGCCATTAGTTTTGCATGTCTGTGTGTGTGTGTTTATACAGAGGGGAATCTACACTACCACTGGTCAGATGAATTCTCACTGGAGATCAAGAATGTGACAAGGAAAGATGGCGGAGTTTACACCGTCGAGTGTACAAATGATGAGGGTGTCAACAAAACCTCCATCACGCTGGACGTTCAGTGTAAGATTCTACACACAGAAGACGAATGAGCAGACACATGGATTTTCCTTTCTATACATGGTGTTCAGATTTCTTTGGTCTCCGGTGTACTGTTCTTCATGGAAAGAATGTAAATTTGAGCGTTTTACTTTTTTTACTAAAATAGACATGGTGATACATATACCTGATTATTTTCTCAATGTTAAAGTGTAAAACAATTTCTGTAATTTTTTTTTCTCATGTGTTTTGATGATTTTTTTAAAGTTATATTTGAAAGTTAGTTTGATAGGTTACAATAGTTTCTAGGTTTTGAGTAAGGTGCACCATAACATCAACTTATCATCTGATGGACAGGCTAAGAGCTACCAGAAGTGAGGCCACCAAAATGTGATCGCCCCCTGGTGGATGGTTGCAGTATAAGTCATAAATCCCTCCTCCTTCATATTAGTGAATGGAACATGAGCCAAACTAAAAAATCAAAGTACAAATCAAATTTTTCCCAGAGGTCACTTTTATATTTTTGGTAGATCTTATCACAGTGATATGCATACAAGTGGCCATATTTCTTATTTTTAATAAGTTATTTGATTATATAAAAATGGGTGTATTTCAATTGATCGGACAGCTTTGATTACCAGTCTGATGCTCTTACTCCACTTTTGGCTGCTACCGCGCAGAATCTAGTTTCAAAAAAGCAAGATGGCGGCCGCTGTATTCACAGTATTTTGGCTTCATTTATGCATAGTGGAGGGAGGTATACACGTCAATGCATCAACCCCAAGAAACATGGACAAAACAGAAAAAGATGGGTATACTTTTTATAATCATTATTTTTACCTGGCTGGAGTCCATTCATAATTAATATTTTGTTCAGTTTCCAACATGCCAGCTTCGTAGATATACCTGTAGGCACTGTGGGTCACAAGTCATCTACATCATTGGTCTCTGCTGAATAGCCATCTTTCTTTAAAAATTGAGAATGAGCAGATTTTTTTCTCACTAATTATTGTCCATTTTGTGCATTAGATTTGAGTCTGTAGGTGAGTAACAGTACATTTTTAACATGCACATATAGCTGCTAAGATCAGAATTGTCCATACAACCATCTACACACAATGAGATACCAAAACAGCAACAATGATTTTTAACGCTTTCCCAGTAAACATGCCTCATTCATTAGGCCTCCATGCAAGCCCGTGCACAGCCACTGCTGCCCCAGGCCAGCCTCGAGCTCCAGGCCCTCTACCCCTATACTGATGATTTAATAATGGAAGTGCTGAAAATGTAGGTCTGCCTGTTTTACCAAAGCCCATGGTACATGACTAATGGATTCTGCCATCCTGATCTGACTGGGCTTGACATTTGTAGAAATTCATTATGTATGGAGAATTGTAGTAGCTTTTATGGGTGGCAGTGTAGACCACTTAACAATGTCTGTTTTGGTTAGCAGGCCAAAATGGGTGGGTCCCACCAACCCAGAGGTCTGTAAGAATCTCTCAAGTATTTCCCACCACTGTTCTTCAAGTGTGAACATGCTGTGGGTTTGGACACACAGCCACAAATGGCCTTATTGGCAACATGGTACTGTACACGGCACCCATGGGAAGTGTAAAAGGCTTGTGAGGTAGAGTCAAACAAAGATGAGAAAAGATGATTTGTTTGACTATACTTGGGTCACGTGACCAATTCTCAGCTTTGTCACAGTCATATGTGTAATGCTTCAACTTAAAGTATAAAGAAGTTAATGGCATTGTATCTAAAACAGAGAGGCAATTTGGACAGTTCAAAGGCAAACAAGTGTAAGAGTAATTACAGCAATGCAGCATACCTGTTTAATGGGTTGGCAAATGATTTGTCCGGCTTGACATGTTAACCTTTGGACAAGCCTTGTCCCTTTTTTTTACTCTTAGATGCTCCCAGTGTCAAGGCAGAGAAAGACCCAGTGTTTGTGAACCTCGGGGAAACAGCAGACCTGATATGTGTGGCAGATGCCAATCCTATTATATCTGGCATGTTCTCTTGGAAATGGCTGGTGAGGGCTACGCACACACACATACATAAGCAAAAACACAATCATCCCCTGAAATATATTTCCTTTATCTGGTTTCTTTCGATTATTTTAGCTGTTCTTACCATTTATCACTGGCTTTTGTAAATGCATAGATGCGCCGTATTCCACCGGCTCTAACTATCTTTCCACCCCACCTCTTCCTGCTCTACGCTCAGCCCAAATACAGAAAAATAGCTTTCATTACTGCTGCGTGACTAAAGGGCACATTTGTCAATGTGGTGTGGTGTCTGTATCTACCGATGCCTTCTGTGGTCTAACCCACCCCCTGGCAGTATTGTGTGTCCCGCTTTCAACCTACACAGCCCCTCCTTTTTCTCTTTCAGCCCCCAAACTCCAGCCCTCACCCATTAGGAATATCTGCTGTCCTCCATTTATCCCCACCCCCCACCACCACCCCCCCCCCCCTTCCACAGGGAGAAGAGGAGGTGGCGATAGAAGGGGAGACACAGCAAGACGAATCAGGCCTTCTGACCATTCATAATGTAACTCGGGCTCATGCTGGTCTTTACCAGTGTACAGTCAATAATGGCATAGCACCCCCTGCCAGTGTAGATGTGCAGCTGGTAGTGCAGTGTGAGTTTGTTTAGTTTGTTTGCATGTGTTTTGCACCTGTCAATGAATTACACTTTTACATTTACTCCTGTATTGTGTCTGTCATGACTAACCTATGTGGTCATGTTGTTTTGTGTAGTCAAACCAGAGATACAGAAAGGAGCCCAGTGGAGGAAAGTAGCAAGTAGAGGGGATGGCACCACTACAGCTGAGGTAGTGTGTCAGGCAGAGGGCATTCCTCGTGTCAGCTTCTCCTGGGAAAAAAATGGTCTACGCATGGATTTTGCAAACCCCAGGTCAGAAAACATTATTAGATGTTATATTCTTCTCTTGCCATTATGTTCACCATTAAGTGCTACTATCAGCATTTGGTTATACAGTGAAGAATTCTCACTATTAGATTAGGTTCTACTTTATTATATTATATTCTCTAGCTTTTTTTTTTTTTTGCAAATTCACCACTAAATCCAGATTTGTGCATTTTCTTTTCACTGTAGAAATACCTGTTTAATGCTTCTTTGATGTGTGAAATTGGGTGACTTGGAGTAATCTGCAGGACATCACAATCTCTGCTGTCTGCCTGCTCAGGATTTCTTTTTTTCTATGTGTGTGTGTGTGCGTGCATATGTGCGTGCTGCAGGTATGAAGAGCGGACCGTGAGGGAGGGCTCTTTCCACACCAGCACAGTTCGAGTAGTAAATGTGAGTGCAGCTCTGGACTATGCTGTCTTCAGCTGCACTGCTGGCAACGCACTTGGGGAAGACAAGCTAGACATCCAGCTCATCAGCACAAGTATCCATGAATTTATGTGCATTCTTTTCTGTGTGTGTGAGGATATGTGTCTATGTGTCTATACATATCTTTATTTCATTGTTTAGTACCATCACTGTGAGGACATTTTACATATTTTAACTTCAGAGGGGTTTTGAGGGTTAAGGCCTGGTTTTAGGCTTAAGGGTTAGGGTTTAACATTTAGATATGATGGTTAGGGTAAGGGCCTAGGGAATCTGTTATGTCAAGGAGTGTGCTCACAACTATAATAAAACACAACTGTGTATGTGTGTTCAGTGGTGAGAGGGTTTGACTAAGCCTCTCTGTGCCACATCTTTTGTCGATGTCATGCAAAAATCATCTTCAAAATGCCAACTTTTCACAGGCTAAGAAAAACAACCCTGTTTCAGCTTTGTACCAAGGCATTTTACAAATAATGTCTTAAATAGTTTAGATGCAGGGAAATGTTCTCATTTAATAAAGGAATGTTGATCCTTACAGTTTCAAAATTGTCAAATTTAGCAGCTTTTAGCTGTTTAGCTCACTGTTTTATCTGATGAGTCTCACTATTCCCATCAACAGACTCTCCCCAATCTGAAAACCTTTGGCATCTGTTCCCAGCAAAAAGGCAGAGTGTACACTAGTGTACGTGAATCCTTAAATCACAGGGAGCCTAATTAAAGTAATGGATTGTGAAGGAAGTCAAGCATCTAGTGATGCTAAGACCCAGAGTTAGTGGACTAAATCAGAGCTAAAAGGCAAAAATATATTGGGTACTCACTCACTGGTGTCTGTGCCTGCTCAGTGTGTAAGAGATTATTTGTTAATGCAACCCAATAAACCTACACTAGTCCGCTTTTTTTCAGGACTTTGTTGCTATCAGTTTTTGTTTGAGGTTCTTTGTCCCCTAGTGGTCAAAACTCACCCAAGGCAACTTGAAATGAATGGCAAATGATCAAAGTCAGTGGTTAGGGCACACAGCATGTTGGAATTATTCATATTAGGTACTTGGCAGTGAAGTACAAATTTTTTTCCTTTGGTTCTAATTTGGCAGCATCTCAAAATAATTGCATCTGTACTGCCTTGTTCAAGGTTTATCAGCCTTTTCCAGCTCTGTTAAAATAATGTGAGAGGGCCCTTGAACATGCAGAATTCTGTAAACTGGAGAGAGTTGTTGCTCCCAAGTGCCAGCCCTGAACTTATTCCATTGCTCTATCTCTACCTTATCACCGAGCCTATAGCACTACTTCATTTCGCCCACAGATAATGCTGCAGTGATATTCTTTGCTCTCCTGGCGTGCTCAGACTGCCTCCAGTCTAGCAGCGTATCCCCGCACCACTGCCACTATCAACAAAGTTCTGCTCTCAGCAAAGGCCCACAGCCATCAATGGACACATTTAATGTTTACTATAAAAGCCATAAAATACAATCCAATATTGGCCCTGTTTTCCCCTGTCATTTTTTAGTGCTGTGAATATTCATAATTAATCTGACGCAATGATAATACATTTTATGTGCTTCCTTATCATTTTAGAGCCCGAGAGGAAGTGAGAGTTTTTCATAGCATGGAGCTTGTTGGATTTCAAGTAGCCGAGATCCAAATAAGACTGACCCCTTTGCCCTGGAATCTTATGAGTGCAGCTGATAGTAGGAATTATTTACTCTGCAAACTGCAGCCTGGAGCCAAAGACGAGCACAGCATCCCCCTTCTTATGTAGCTGCTCAACTATCTCTCCTTGACTATCTCTGTCCCCAAAAGCACCCTTCCTTTTTCCATGCTCCAAATACAAAATAATTCTCGGTGCCTCGACCGATTAGCCGCCTTTGATCTTCGATCAAATATTGATGATAATCAACATGCTTCATCCTCCATTGCCTTGACTTTGGTCAGATGAATTGGACAAATCAGTCATTTTGTTTTGAGAAGGATCAGCCATACCTCTGCCCGTGTTTCCTGATCATTTGTACAACAAAGCACAACCTTAAGAAAAAAGCAGATAAGGAGTGGTGCATTGTTAACAAATGCAAAGCTGTTGCTGTCAAAAAGATGTTCTTTGGGAGCCTGTAAAATAAATTGTGATTAAGAGGAGATAAACTATAATAAAAAAAAAAACCACACACATAATGGCTTTGCAGGCTGACTGAAATGTTTTGACTATAGTGATCATCTGTTCTTTTTGATTTACTTTTACTCATAACTTCAGCAGTTATTAACTAATTCTCTAATTTTTCCACACTTAAAATACTGTTGTACCTAAAACTGTGGTAAATGTTATGACATTAAACATAGTCAAATCAGCTCAGCAGTAAATAGTTCTGACACCTTGTGTCAAAACTGAGCAGTAGGAAACGTGGAAATTCTCTCAAATCATTTTCTTCTTCTTCCATTTCTATCAGGAAGAACATTAAGTCTGCTCTCAGTTTTAGTTATATCATTGCATCTATTTATAAGAGTTCCACAGCTGAGAGGGAGACTGTATGGAAGTCACAGTCCTATAGACCAGCAGAGCCCCCTGTGTTATTCCAGAGATGGTGGATATACAGTATCTTTCTTCTATTTCATGTCAGTTTCTTAGCACTTAATGCCATTTCAAATAGCCACCTGCCAAGTGAAGGTGTTCCACTGTTGCACCCTCAGGTCACCCAGATCCTCCTTCATCATTTCGCCAAGTAAGTGTTACCCATGACTCAGTCACTCTGGACTGGATCCCTGGCTTCAACGGTGGTTTGCAGCAAAGATTTCGTATAAGGTGAAATGTCAAGAAAATATGTTGGTTTGAAAATGAAATCCTTCCATAATCAAAGGGTTTCTGCTTGACTCTGCTTTTTGGTTGACAGATACCGTTGGGATCAGTCAATCAGTTTCCTGTATATGGACGTCTTTCCTCCCAGCGCAGCGATCTTCACTGTCACTGGCCTGCAGCCTGTCACCACCTACAACTTCTCTGTCAATGCTCTCAATGCAATGGGAGAGAGTGGCTATGCTGACAACAATGCAGTACTGACCATCACCACCACGGGTCAGTTGGGAGTAACTCCAGTTTGACCCTTAGAAGGCCCAGTGTCCAACCATCTTATATTAACATAATCTGACAATAATTGATATATAAATGATTAAATAATAATTAGTGTGGAATGCAAGTTTGTTTTTTGTTCTCTTTCCTATTTTATAGCAAGGCCAGAAGTAGGAGCACCAACAGATGATGGCTCAGTCTCACAGAGTGAGTCTTTTATCATAACTCTGAAAAAGCTCTTAAGGGCACTTGGAAATTGCTGTTTGCACAGCAGCTGGCTTCATTTGGCTAAATCATGTTAATGTATGCATCTCCGAGGCTGTTAATGTTTGCTCTT